ATAGAAAATAATTAAATTAAATTCTAGAACTTGAACTAAAACATGCATACAAGTTGTATAAACTTCTAAAATCATCAATATAACATTAATATAATCCTAAAACACCCCCTACCTCAATTTGAGATGAAAATCTCAAATCTCCATCGAAAGAAAAGTGCTCCGAATTCGACGATACTTCGGAGTTTTGTCGGGGACAACACAATGAACAAGAATCTCAAGGAAGTCCCCATCAAAATCACAACTTGACTTCAAACCCGAACTCAAAATTTAGCCAAAAACGGGTTCTAAAAAGGGAAAAAGGTAGAGCATGACGAGACCTACGATAAATGTTAAGGTTGAAGACTTTCTACCAAGGAAATCAAGTGGAGGAGAAGAAAGAGTGAAGGCAGCCCCTTGGGCTCCCATGGCTGCTGGCCAAGAGGAGGAAGAAGGTCTGAAAAATCTGATTTTAAAATTTAAGGTAACTTATTTATAGAATTCTCAAAAAGTGCCCCGAAAGGGCCTCGCCGGGTCCGGAAAAGTGAAATTTGAGCAGACGCGCTCAAACGACAAAACTCCGTGAACGAAAAAGAACCAAAATGAGAAAATATGAATAATAGAAGAAACGGCGTCGAAAACTGAGTTCCGAGCAAAGAGATATTCACCGAACAAGTTCGGCGGCAACTAGGGCCAGAAACTCTTAAATTAGAGAAAAACGACCAGAAGGAAATTTAAGAGTATACGACTCAATGAAATGTGAAAATAAATCCCGTACGAGGATCTAGGCTCAAAACGAGGCATTTTTGCAATAACTTTCATTAATTGCACAATGGTCTCTCCAAACAGTGAAAACTGCACTAATAACCCAAAATGAAAATATCTTCTAAAAATATTTTCTGAAAAACTACTGAAATAAAATATCTTCAAAAAATATTTACAAAAAACACCCCAAGAAAAGAAAAAGATTCTGAAAAACTATGCATCTATGCCCTTATGGACACCGGAAGCAACCAGAGTACTTTATTGCAAAAGTAAAGATATGTATTTCGTGGAAACCAATTAGAATGAAGATACGTAAAGTCAAAAACCAACTCCAAACACAAAAAGTGAGGTTATGCCAATAAAGTGAAAAACGGGGAAAAGACAAAATAGGAAAAAGGAAGAAAAATGAATAGTGTTGAAAAACGAAAAATGTGGAAATGACTCGGTCTTCAAAGGAAGTTGTCAATTTAGGGGAAAGAGTTTCAGAAGCTATTTCCGAGCACTCGAGATGGCACTAAGTGACAAGAAACCAAACACAGAATATAAAAGACAACGAAAAATATTTATCCGTAAAATTTAAGGGAAAAAAAAAGAAAAAAATGATCGGGTCATTACAATTTAGGCCACTATACAAGTTAGCTGCCAACTTTTGCTGCTCATTTCCACATGAAAATGCATAGAACACTTCAATAGACCAACAATTTCTAACTACAGGACGTTTCACATAAATATACTAACTTATTCAATAATAAGGATTAGTAAATATAATTTAGCAATAATAATCATGATATAAAATGTGCTCATCATATATCAGTAGAATTGAACCTTATTATTAAATTTTTATCCAAACAAGAGCCGAGTCTAACAAGTCATTTTCTTTTTATTTTCCCTTTTAAATGCTAGATATATAATTTTTTTTTCCCTAATAGTTATTCAATCCAGAGTGCATATTACACATGTTAATTTCAACAAGTGAAACTATTAGAGAAAAGAAAATTTGAGTTACATATGTTGCATATGCAATAATAATAATAATAAATTATATAATAGTAAAAAAATTCTCTTTATTATTATAATTATTATTATTATTGCTCTCTATCCACATTTTTGAAATCATGTTATCTTCAAACACACATTTGCGAATGTATAACATAGAGCCGGTAAAAAGTGTTCGTGCTTTTTATATAATAATGATATTTAGTTGAAACTAATTTCAATACGAAATGAATGGTTTATTGAACAAAATATTCAGAACTTACGTCAATCATAATTCAATTATATATAATTGAATTTCGATTATATCGAATTGAAATTCTAATTCAATTTCAATTCTGGCAACCAGACTACCTCATCCTATTTGAGTTATTTTATTGTGTGGCTATGTATTATGGCAAATCTACACCCTCCCTAGGCTTATAGTCTTCCCAAAAGAAAGTACATGTTATCGAAATTTTATCACACTCAAATGAAGGAGTAGATATTGAATGCGTCAAACGCGCCATGTTATTAGTGTATTCATCCAATAATAATGGGCTATTTAAAAAAAAATTGGTCCACCTACATATAAAATTATTGATAACAAGATAATATGTTATATTTGCCCTCGGGAGCTCGGTGATGGTGGTAAGGTAAAGTAAAAGGCTGGGTTCTAATATGTCTCAGTTTCGAACTCCAACACCCCATTATAATTCCTGATTTAACTGATATAATTATTGTAGAGCGGTTGTAACATATTCAATTTGTAACTTGAGCTGAGTCCAAAAAGAACCCTGCCCAAGAGAATTATGAGTTCCAAATATATAAATATATAATATGTTATATTTTATTGAACGAGTACACTAATAATATGGAACGTTGACACACTTGATATTTATTTGAAGTAAATGCTTGTGAAATCATTTCTTCTAAATTAATTTAATTAAAAGATTATCCATATTTCACATGTTTGAAGTAAAAGTTTCACGTGAAATCATTTTTTCTAAATTAACTTAATTAAAAGATTATCCATATTTCACATGTTTGAAGTAAGAGTTTCAAAAGTTGAATGGTAGAGAGTCTACGCTTAGGTCATGGGTTTTGACCAATTTGTTAAAGCAAATGGTTTAGTTTGAACGATTTATATTGGTGGTGGGATCTTGGTTTACTCCACGTCACCACGGTTGCTGCCACGTCACCGATTACATCTTGTTTGAGAACTAGTTTAACAATTATCTTCTGAAAAAATAGAAGTAAAATTAAATAAATTCTTTAAGTCAATATTACCACATGATGAATATGATAAGAACTACCAACACCCAATAAAATATTCTATATTGAGACATGTGTAAACTCTAGTGAATTTTAGTTCCATCTACGAATGATCCAACGAACTATCTCTCCCTCTTATAAAAACAAAAACAGAAAGGAAAAAAAAAAAAAAAAAAAACCCAAAATATCTGAACTAATGATAGATGCAAGAACACAAAAAGATAAAGATTTTTTTTTTTTTTAAATCGATCACGATCATCCAAATGAATTCCTACCTTATCATTTTTGAAACTAATCAAATTTTACCAGTTAAAAAATTCACTTTAACTTGTCGGATTGAGTATCAAAAATCAAAGAAAAATATTTTATTTTATTTTTTAATAAATTATACATATCTTTTCAATGATTTGTTATAATTATAGAGACCTCTTGTATGGTTTAAAAAATTATTCAAATCTTTATTAAAAACAAAACTAATTTACACGGACCTCCTTTCTTAGTAATTCTACTTATTAAAATACCTTCACGTTGCTATCATAAATTACTGAAATACCCATACGCTTTTGACAAGAGTAATGTCTTTGTCACCGGAATCGCTGGGAATTAAAGGGACCCAAACTTCTCTCTGGCCGCAGTCCTCGTCACAACCATCGTGTCTTCACCGTCGGAATCCTTGGTATTTGCTCGCCGATCAAAAGCTTTCATCATTATTACATTATTCTTTTTTTGCACACGGGACAAGATATATATGTAAATTTATGCAGAACGGCCCCTGTTTGTGGGTTGAATAATATAGAGAGAGAAAGTGCAGCGAGGAGATAGATGAACGGCTAGCGATATATCAGAACTATTCGTCATTGACTGATCTTAACAAAGAAAGGGAGGTACGTGTTAATTTTATATTTAACACTTTATATTTAAGAGAGATTCGAAAAAAATTCTCAAATGTCTCTTCGAATTTTGACTCTCTAAAAATATCACTTTAGCTTTTTCAAGAGTCACGTCAGTAACTTTCACTTTTCATAAACATACAATCCATCTGGCTCTCCGAATTTTCGCTCTAAAAAAAAAACAAAGAATTAAAATTAAAATTAATTTTAAGATTAAAAATAATGAATTGGAATAAGAAAATAAGGATTACAAAATCGAATAAGAAAATAAATTTTTAATTTTAATTATTTTTTTTAAAAAAAATTTACAAAATTAAATTTAAATTTTTTTTTTTTTTAAATTATAGCAGTTAAGACACTATTTGTGTCAGCCAAGCGGAGCCTTAACGGCCAAATGCACGGTTTATGGCTCAAATTTAAAATTTAAAGCAAAAAATTAAAAATAAAAACAAATTTTAAGGAAAAAAATTAAAAAAAATGTTATTTAGTTTATTTTTGACCTAAATCAAAAAAAATTTTGGACAAACAATTCCAAAAAAAACCATGCTCTTGACAGTTTTTTTTTTTTTTAAAAAAACACTTCACGCAAAACGTCATCGTTTTGGTAAAGAAAAAAACAAAAAAAAAATTTATCCCGATCAAACTTGAGTTTGCGGTATTTCGTGAGTCAGACCGCGAACTGATGTGAGGCCCACCAAATACCGCTAAGCTGATGGAGTGAGTTTGGACCATTTGGCTCGGGAAAAGGGCTTTCCCCGAGCCCGCTATAGAGAATGTTGGTGTAGAATCCTTGTAGTGGGGACAAATGTCGAAAATCACAATTTCTGTGTGGACGGTGATGCCATATTGCCAAATCCACCCACGTATCACAATCAATTTTATGTGTGTCACGCAAAGAACTTTGAGAAAAGGTAAGATAGTCAACCAAGGAAGTAAGAAAATATGGAACCATATAATGGTCAGACAATATCGTTGACTAAAAACAGTAGAGTTCAAGCAAGACACGAAGACAGTGAGTGACGTGTCAAATTGTAAACATGCCTCATTTTTGCGGGAGAAAAGGCTGGAATATTCTCAGAAAGATTCTCTCTCATCGGATGGATTTAAATACACAACCTTACTCTCCCCACCAGAACCCGCACCCTCTTTCTATTTTCTCTCTCTTTCAACCCTTCTCCATTTTAAAACTCTCTCTATCTCCCCAATAAACAAAAATATATATATATATATATATATATAGTGTTTTGGGTTGTTCTTTTTTCTGTTTTTTAAGTAACAATTGCTCTCTCTCTCTCATAACAGTGAGTACACCTGAGACATCTTGACTCTCACTTGTTCACTCCATTACTATTGAGGTATAATATATGTTTCTCATTTATTTTTTTTTTTGCAAAAAAATGAATAGCTTCATAGTCTATGTACATAGATTTGCATGTATATGTATATGTATATGTATATGTCTATATCTATATCTCTGTCTTCTTTTAAAGTTAGATTTTCCAATTTTCCTTTTATATAACAAGTGTATGTGGATTTTGACTACTAAAAGAAGTACTAAGGTAACAATACAAGGAAAAAAACATTAAAAAATAAAAAATAAAAACAATTTATGGGTTTTAAAATTTTTATGTTTTATTTTATTTTGGCATTGGAAGTTTAATTATAGTGTTAGACAACCCATGAAAGATGTAACATCTTCCTCGTTGGGGCTTTAATTCTTTTTACTTTTGTTCATAAAATGGTAAGATGTCTACTTTGGGCGCCAAGTTTACATGCTTTTGTTTGGTTGTCTGGAAAGTTTTTCCTTCTTCTTTCTCTGATATTTTCTGGCTATTTCCTGACAGTTTTTAAATTTGTTGGTATTACACACAGTTATTTTTACCCATTAACTCTTCATAGCTTAGCAGAGCAGAGGAAGAAAAACACAGAAGATTAGCTACTTTCACCGTCCATACAAAGATCTCACCAAATTTTCACTACTACACATCTGAAAAGGCAGTGAAATATAGCAGAGTCTATATGCATCTTTAGTTACAAAAAATCCAATCGTTGAATGTGATGATAGGACCCACTTAATGAATAATTTAACTGTCTGTTGAACTTATCCGAATAAAGCTTTTATTATAATGTTTAATCCTCTTTGTTGACACTTGAAACATGCCAAACTGTTAATTAATTGCTTTCACATGTTTTGCACTTTGTCATATTCAATACATAGTAGTCAAAATCGTCACCAGCTTTGAAAAATACATATGCATGCGCTGGAAGTTTGAACTGTGGAAAAAAAAAAAAAAAAACCAGAAGCCTGTTTTTTGTCTTCTTTTGATATATTTAATCTTTTATATTTGTTTCCTCAACAACAAATTAAAATACCTCTAGACCCGAATTTTGATTCGGGCTACCTAGTTTTGAATCCGTTGTCTGGCGGGTCTTGAACTTGGAATCTAGTCCGTCTTGGTAGTGTAACATAGTCTATAAGGATGCTAGGGTTTGTGACGTGGGCATGGAGGGTTTGTGATGTGGGCATGGAAGAACACTAAATGCGATATGAAAGGCCTGTCAGTTTTCTAAAAATCATTCTACGGTTGTCTTTTTTAATCGAGTTTTCAAATTGTCAACCAAGTAAAATTTAGAACAACTTTTTTTATTTTCAATTATATGAAAACAGAAAATTATTCTTAAAAAATTGAACCAGGAAGGCCCTTTCTTGTAATTTATTTATTTTTTTATTGTTTCTTTGAGAAGTTCTACAATACTCGGGTACCGTACCCTCAAGGTCTCTCAGCCATTAGATCATTCTTTATCAGCTCGGCCTCACCACCACATGCAATGAGTTGGGATACCTGGGGTATGGTACCCCTAGATATTCCAAAAAATTTCCCTTTTTTCCCGATTGTGTTTGGATTTACTAGTGTTTGTTGTAACACATTTAATACCCCCTCTCCCCTCTTCCGTGATTTCAGGGCATAGAAGTTGTAAAGATAAATTAGTGCAGTGAAAAGGCTGTGAGAAGAGAAGGTGATGGCCAAAGAACACCTGAAAGTTCTTAATGCACTTGATGCTGCAAAAACACAATGGTACCACTTCACAGCAATTCTAATTGCCGGCATGGGTTTCTTTACCGACGCCTACGATCTTTTCTGCATCTCTCTGGTGACAAAATTGCTGGGCCGCATATACTACTACGACGGTGATAAAGATAAACCAGGGACTTTGCCACCAAATGTCTCTGCAGCAGTCACTGGTGTGGCCTTTTGTGGCACACTTGCTGGACAGCTCTTCTTCGGATGGCTCGGTGACAAGATGGGGCGAAAACGTGTCTACGGCATGACCCTTATGCTTATGGTCATTTGCTCAATTGCCTCTGGCCTTTCCTTTGGCAGTCAGCCAAAAGCTGTAATGGCCACACTCTGCTTCTTCCGCTTCTGGCTAGGCTTCGGCATTGGTGGCGACTACCCTCTCTCTGCCACCATCATGTCCGAGTATGCCAACAAAAAGACCCGGGGAGCATTCATTGCCGCGGTGTTTGCTATGCAGGGCTTTGGGATTTTAGCTGGTGGAATGTTTGCAATCATAGTTTCTGCAGCATTTAAGGCCAAATATCCTGCCCCAGTGTATGAAATCGATCCTGTTGGATCAACTGTCCCGGAAGCCGATTATGTTTGGCGCATAATTCTAATGTTTGGTGCAGTACCGGCTGCTTTGACTTACTACTGGCGAATGAAGATGCCTGAAACTGCCCGATACACTGCCTTAGTAGCCAAGAATGCCAAACAGGCTGCGGCAGATATGTCCAAGGTCTTGCAGGTAGAGCTTGAAGCAGAGCAAGAGAAGAACGTTCAAGAGCAGAGAAACGACTTCGGCTTGTTTTCTAAGGAGTTTGCTCGTCGCCATGGGCTTCACTTGCTCGGAACCACTAGCACATGGTTTTTGCTGGACATTGCCTTCTACAGTCAGAACCTATTCCAAAAGGACATTTTCAGCGCAATTGGGTGGATTCCAGCAGCCAAAACAATGAATGCAATCGAAGAGGTCTACAAAATTGCAAGGGCTCAAACCCTCATAGCTCTCTGCAGTACTGTCCCCGGGTACTGGTTTACCGTGGCTTTGATCGACAAAATAGGGAGGTTTGCAATTCAGTTGATGGGCTTCTTCTTCATGACAGTGTTCATGTTTGCCTTGGCCATTCCCTACAATCACTGGACTCATAAAGAAAACCGGATAGGGTTCGTCGTCATGTACTCACTCACCTTCTTTTTCGCCAACTTTGGTCCCAATGCCACAACATTTGTCGTGCCAGCGGAGATTTTCCCAGCAAGGTTGCGGTCAACGTGCCATGGCATATCTGCAGCAGCCGGGAAAGCCGGGGCAATTGTGGGAGCGTTCGGGTTCTTGTATGCAGCACAAAGCCAAGACAAGAGCAAGACAGATAAAGGGTATCCGCCTGGTATTGGGGTGAAGAATTCTCTCATAGTACTAGGTGTGATCAACTTCTTAGGAATGGTGTTTACATTCTTGGTCCCTGAATCAAAGGGAAAATCACTGGAGGAAATGTCTAGAGAGAATGAGGAAGAGAATGATGGATCAGAAACTGAGTCAAGGCCACATGCTGGTCATGACATTAGGACAGTCCCAGTTTAATTGCGCCTTTTTTTTTTTTTTTATATAGTCTCTATGTATAATTTAGGGTACTTAATTTGTTGACTTGTCTTCTTTAGTGCAAATATTAAGATGAATTACTTACCCAAATAATATATAAATATAAAGAACTGTTTAGCTTCATTTCAAGCACATATTATGATGAAATATGTTTTGGTAAAGATTTTAAGAAACACTTCGATAGGAAAAATAATTTCCATTAAAACAAAAAAGTGTCACATATTTTCTTCTCGGCAATCAAATAGAGTGTGGAGGTAAAAATTCCCACCAACCATCACCATTCTTGCACTAACGGGAGGAATATCACAATTAGGATTCAAAACCTCTAACTCTCGTGTGAAATCAAGGAGGAATATGAGGGGAGAATCCCGAATCCCTCTAGGGGGAGAATCCTGAATCCCTCATCGGAACTACATTAAGCTGATTCCCACTTGCTCTATGTAATAGGCAACCTAGACAATCCTACGTTCGGTCGTACCATTTTCGTATTCATTAGTGTCTTTTTGCCCTTTTGTCAAGTATAATTGGTCCAAGATTGTTCCGTTCCTACGTGCAAATTTTTGCACCTACACTGTAATAGTCTCTCTCTTTTTACCCCCTTAGAAATTAGCTCCTCTACCTGCTTCTGTAAAATCTTCTCAAACGCACGGGAAAACATTTTAGAGCAATATGTTGGAATTCAACCAGTAACGGGCGTAACAACCTCACTGTTACTTATAAATATAAATGCTTTACATATTGAAGGACCATCCCTCCACAAATTTCAATAATGAATTAGCTACCCTTTTACAAAGCTATGTAAAATTTTCAAGAATATGGTTTCACAACATGTGAAACATTGACTAATTTAACCGAGTTTTGCCCGATCCCAAGGGGTTGACAAAGACTCTCTCACCTCACATCTTGGAGGTCAGGAGTTCGAATCACCTTGAGAACACTTGAAAAATTTTCCCGGTAATTTGCCCGGTACATTGAGACGGGGGGACTGCATGTGGCCAGAGGCGGATTATGGGGTGCTCTAAGATGTTCGACACAAACACAAGTCAGCTTAATAATCAGCATAAATCAAAATACGATTATAAAATGCAACCTCATATGTGACATGCTTCATGACACAATTGCTAATCGTTACTAGTCAAGGCTCGTGACAGAACTGTGACACGCTGCTCACCTAACTTGGAGCATGGGCTATGAGATAAATATAGACTCGGACGAAACAATGAACAACATGCCAGTTAAAATGCTATGGGAAAAATAAACAGATGATTTAAATCCAAGGATGTCTACCTTGAATACCATTCTTTGATTATAATCAAGAGATCATCAGCAAACCTTTTGTTGGAGTGATCTCAAATCCCTTCCTGTTGCAGCTTCTGTTGTACATAAAAGTTTAAAGAAGAAAAAAGAAAAAAGAAAAAGTACAACCACCTTCTATCTCATATAAAGAGGGGAGACCTTCTCAAGTCTTGTTCAAGAGTGATTCTGATTTGTTAAATTCCTTTGCACAGATATCATACCCGGGTCGGTGACATTTACCTCCGCCCTTGACATTGCAGAACTACGACAGCTTGTTCTTTATATCTCCGTTTGGATGAACAAATTTACTACACTTTTGCACCAAGGAATGACTGCAAAAGAAGTGGAAGGAGTTAAAAATATATATATGAAAAATCAAAGGAGACATCATCATATATGTTCCATGGATATACAACTGGAGTAGCAACAAGGAAGAACAAGATTTATAAAAAGTACAAATGTACTAAAGAATCTCTCTATAGAATATCTAACATACCTGCTGGACTAACATAATCGAACATAAAATTAGAATATATATAAAGCTTAAAACCCAAACTAACAAGCCAATCAAGCACTAATACTATCATGAAAAAAAAAAAAAACATAGTAGTAGAAGAAAACACTCTCGTGTAGAGCGCAAAACAACCGGGGCAAACGAAAAAAATCTCCACTAGTCAAATCAAATACAGTCGATACCTCCAAAGAAAGAAATAAGTTGAAAAAAACTCAACCCTCATGAAAACTACCTGCTACAGGAGGAACTGAGATTTGAAGGATCTTTATTTAGTGAGGATTGGTATGATAATAAATATATTCTTCAGGTTGCTTCACTTGCTTCTCCATTCATATTTCATACCACTAACCAGTAATAGATATCACGGGTGATAATGCAGACCCAAATCTGTGGCAACCCACCATGAACATGATAAAGTCATTCTCAGATTTAGTTCGATAAAAGGATTCACATGTAGATCTGCCACTTCCATCAATCTTCCTAGAAGATCAGAATTATTTTACATGTTTTTCCGCTAGGAAATCACAATTATTAAATTAACTTGGATGGGCAACTAAAGAATGTATAATGAATCCAGTTCATGGTTTTAAAATCGAATACCATCAAATAAAACCATTATGTAACAGATTCTAGGACTCCAATACTGTCATGGTCCTATATCAGCCGTTACAATCTGTTAGTGTCATAGACTCATAGCAGTCGTTACAGGTTGTTATGGACTGCTACAGTGTTGTAATGGCCATCACTGGCTGTTACAATCTGTTATAGTACATGAATTTGACAGTAACCTTAAAAACACTTGTAAGCATCATGTTCCTGAATCTATTAACTACTCATCCATATGAAGACTAGTGCTCTTAATACTTTTTATAAACTTGCGCTATAGAGATCAATGTAACAATATATAAGTTTTACGTTTCTAGATATAAAAAAATATATAAAAAAATTGCATTTCTTTGTCTGTGAAAAGACACCTTACCATATTCAGCTGCAACATGAAAAATATTTTACCAAGTTCGATTACACACTCTGTTTCATTATCTTACTTGTGATATTATTCATCAAAGCTAGAGAAGGAGGTCAATAAAAAGGTAGAGAAGGAGGTCAATAAAAATATTTGGCTTGTTTGGTATTCATTGGGTCATGCCTCGGTCATCTTGGGAGTTGTTAGATATGTGGAGGGGCCAATGGGTGGGGGCTCAGGCCAGAGTTTTTTGGAGGGTGATCCCTTTTTGTATTTGGTGGAGCCTTTGGAGAGAGCGTAATCCTCTATTGGGGTGTTAAAATTTTCTATCATTTGTAATTTGTTTTGTTGGGGTCAGGGGAGAGACTACTCCTCTCTTGAGTATATTGTTGATTTTATGAGCTCTTTGAGTTCATGGGCTCCATTTTGTCTTTGTATAGTTTGGGACGCGTTCTCCTTTTGAACGCTTTTAATACAATTTACTTATCAAAAAAAGAAGTTACAACCAACTTCACCAACTTCTGAAGAGACCAATAAATGGTTCACGCTTCCTTTACTAGATGTCTTGGTCACTTCGATACAATGCTTTATCCAAATTTCCCTTTTCTCTCAGTTTGATGTTAATATATCAACAAATCTAAAAGAAAATTACTTTTCAAAAGTTATACCTTTCACTTGTGTGTTAATGCATTAAATTGTTCTCCCCTTAAAAAGTCAGAATTTTTAAAATTAAATTGTTTGCGATCTCGTATTTGGGGTTGCCTTTGTGGTCGCCTTCGAGGAAAGTGTCCGCCTGGGACCCAATTGTTAAGATGTTTGCGAGGAGGCTAGCAGGGAGGACAAAACAATACCGGCTCATATTAATGAATTTGTGGCTTAGGTTGTTGTATTCCATTTAACTAATGAAATAAATAAATTGTGAATGCAACTATTACTACAATTGATACGATTTAAAAAGTACCATGTGTGGTTACACTAGTTAGTTTTCCATTAACGTAGGACCAAAGATCGGTGCTAAGCCCATATATATTTGCAATAACCCTAGACGAAATAACAAGAGAATTCCAAAATGAGATTCCATGGTGTATGATATTTGCCGATGATATCGTGCTTTCGGATATATGTAAAGAGAACTTAGCAATAAAACTAGAAACGTCGAGACATGCTTTAGAATTGAAAGGATTGAGAATCAGTTGAACTAAAACCGAATATATGAAGTGCAAATTTAATAAAGATTTGGGCATTGATAATTGTTGGAGAATATTATAGGAGTGACTTTAGACAATGACAGAATATTAATTGGAGTGATTTATGGGACTGATTTTAGGAAATCCTCCATTAATGTATTTTCTATATTTATCACTTGTATCCTTTTCACCTATAAATAGAGGTGCTAATTGTAAGCAATTTTAAGAAAGAATACATGATGTAGCCCTTTGAGCTCTTTGTGTTGTGGATGTATGCCCTAGTGGCTGAACCATATTATATCCTCGTGTTCTTCATTTTCTATATCTCTTTTCAATTATAACATGATATTAGAGCAAGTTTATCGTACCCTACTCTATACTCGACTCGAAATTTGTCTTGGATCTTCGAATCAACTCATCTCGAATCTCTGGATCAACTCGTTTCGGATCTTCGGATTAACTTGTCTTGGATCTTAAAATCAACTCATCTTGGACTCTCAACAACTCTGTATTTAGTTTAAAGTTGGACACTCAAGTTAAAATCTCGTGTACTAACTTTGGGGGTGGGTGTGTGTGTGTAGGGGTAGCTTCTGATCTATGTTACTCGGATAGGGGTGTGTGTCTAGAAGTCGGATCCGTCCATCCTTCAAGTTATGGGATACAGGGACACGGCCAAAAAGTGTCCAAAATTTGCACACGAACACTCGGAAGAAAAAGAAAAAGTGTACCATTTTTATGTATTAGACGATAAATAAATAAATATAATAGAAAAGGAAAGAGTGATATAAATTTATATAGTAACTAACCAACATGCCAGTGGCATAGTGGTACCAGGCCTCTACTTTTCAAAGGGAAGTCAGTGGTTCAAGCCGCAGTGGAGGCATGTGTGTGTGAGTACCAATTAAGAAAAAAAAAATTATATGGTAACTAATATTATTTTATTGTTGTATTTGTTTACCTTATTTGAAAAGTCAAAGCAGAGAACAAAACAAATGTCTCGAGATTCTTATAGATGATAGATTGTGGTACTAAATAAAAAAAGTAAGGACTGTGCAGTACAACTACAAACCATTGTGCAGGTTTACAGTAGTAGATAGTGATTTTGGTTTACAGCTCTAAAATATAACTTTGTTAAAAAGGCCCAAATCTCCATTTCTTCATATCCAATAAACAGGTGGCATTATTGTGGCCCCTGAAGAGTATTAAAAATTATTTTGGTCGATAGTCAAGCAAGTAAAATCACACTCTGCCGGCACAAAAAAAATTAGCAAACACAACGCATATGCATACAATCGCCTTCAACCTTTCAAAAGACGCACCAGACAGCCATTGCTGTTGTACTGAGCTTTCTAATCTCGTCAATGGAAGCCTGTTTAACAGATAAAACATGGGACAATTTTCTAATCCCTCACAAGCATCAATCCACACATTTTTTTTTTTTTTTTGGTAGTGTCCAATGCAAGGATGAAGGATTCGACTCACATCCAGTGTTAGTGTCTGTGTCATGCCGTGTCGACACAGACACTTCAGCCTGAGTACAGGTAACACAGCCTATGTTAGAATATTGATTGGAGTGATTTATGGGATTGATTTTAGGGAATACTCCATTAATGTATTTTCCATATTTATCACTTGTATTCTTTCACCTAAAAATAAAGGCGCTCATTGTAAACAATTTAAAGAGAGAATATAATAAGAGTGACGTAGCTCTTTGTAGTTTGTGCTGTGAGTGTAGGACCTAGTGGGTGAACTGCATTATATCCTTATGTTCTTCAGTTTCTATTTCTCTCTTCAATTTTAACAATAATATAATGATAACACTCCAAAACCAAATGATTAATCCAAACAACCACTTTGGTATCTAGGTTCGATAATACAAAAGCATGGAAAGGTAGGCAGTGATGTAATCAGTATAATTGGGGCGGGTAGGACAAAATGGAGACAAACTAGTGGAATTTTATGTGATAAAAGAATAAAACATGAGCTAGAAGGAAAATTTTATACGAATGTTAATAGACCAACTATATTATATGGAGCGGAGTGTTGACCTTATAAAAGAAACAAGAACGACGCCTTCTTGTAGCAGAAATGAGAATGTTAAGATAGATAAGTGGAGTGACTAGAAGAGAGAGGGTCACTAATGAAAGTGTGAGAGGAAAACTAGGAGTAGCTCCCATTGATGAAAAAATTCGAGAGAGTGACGTAGATGGTTTGGACTTTAGAGATATATATCGGAGACCTAATGATGCGTCAGGCCGGTCAAATGAGGAAAACTAATTGTAATAGAAGGAGAGGGCGGCCAAAAATAACATGGAATGAAGTTATTAAAAATGATCTTAAGAAGTTAAATATAGTAGGTGAATTGGCATGTAATAAAAAAGATTGAAGAGAATTCATGTGGCCGGCCCCATTCATATGGGCTATTTTACTTGGACTCGCCGGTGCTCGCCAGAGTATCCGTGTCAACACGACACGGACACGGGCACCAGATTTGGGTTTGACTCCTCATCTTATCTTCGGACATGGCCGATGACAAACACACACAAAAGGATGTGTGGGTTGATGCTTGTGAAGGAATTCAAAAAAAAAAAAATTCATGTTTTTTGGTTGAATCGACTTCCATTCGCGGTGTTAGGAAGCTCTTTGATTCGAAGATGGTGTATGGTT